AATTCTTAAGTGGTGGATGGATGTAGCAATACTTGTGTGAGAGAGAAGGCATGCATGTGAAGATACCTAAAATCATAAGGGGAAATATAGTGTCATATACTAAGAGAAGGATGAGAGGTATGTAAGATATTTTCATTTTTTCATGGAGTCAAATCAATAAAGACAGGTTAGGAAGAGAAAAAGATAGTAAACAAGATGAGTAACGAGAAAACAAGACAAATTTTTGGATCATAAAAAACGGTAGAGAAATTGATACGTTATCTTTGTTGAAAAAATTAATGTTACATGTCGATCTTTATTTATATATAAAGGACTGGTCAAATATCGATTATGTGGGAGCAAAGTGTTCATTTTGTTCTCTTCTTCAACTCATAAAGTATGTTTGTGTTAATTTTAACATTTTTTTTACAAAGCTTGGTTTCTTGTACTATTTATTACATATATAACAAAATCATTAATGATAAAAATATGTTTATTTAATAGGTTTAATGGACTTACAATATATAATTATTATAAATATCAACAAATTTTTTTATATTATACATTGTGGTTGGACTACGATATAAACTATTCTATAGTGATAGTGCATAACGCTCTTATTTAATAAGTATTATTTTCTTTGGATATTTTTATATTACAATATTTATTTTAACTATTATATTATGTACGAATATTTATTTTATTGTTTCTGCATTATATTTCAAGATATTAACATTGATACATGATAGGTTTATTTTATTATTTTAAAATTTTAGTATTATATTACACTATTTATTTTGTCCATTACTCTATTTATTCTATTAATTTAAAATTAGATTTCAAGATACTTTATAGCCATTACACTTATTATTTACTTTAGTGTATGTTATTTTTACTTTACTTTATACTTGATTAAAAATATTTTAAGATTATGTATAATATTAATAATAAATTACACCATAGAACAATTGAAAGTATAATTAAAAGAATTTATCTATAAATGAAAGATTTTAAGGTTTAAATAAATAAATAAAAATTACAAATACCCCAAATATATATTGTTTTTCAATAAAATTAAATTAAATTTATAAAAAAAAAATATCATAAGCATATACATTTATATTATTTTACATTAATTTATCGGCTACTTCAACAAATAAATTTACAAAACATTTATAATTCAATTAGCTAGCTTAAAATCTTTTAGCTACTTGTTGTCAATTAGTTTATCAACTTTTTTTTTAATTTTCAGCTAGTTTTATTTTAATTAATTTTACCAAATAGTCTCATATATGTATTATATATATACTTATTATAAAGGGAATATAGGGGTATGTAACTATTTTTTGTCTCTATTTTTTAGTGGACCATTATATTCCTCAAATGTAAAAAAAAAATTAAATAATTATACATAATTTTCTAACATTGTATTTGTGTATACCTATTAGAGGTACGAAGTGCTTCAATCCATATAGTGTATATAAACATCTTTTGTGTTGCATGGAAAACTGAAATGGGCAGGTAGAAAGTTATATAGCTTGGTTTAACTTAATTAATTGATATGATACAGACGATTGTAAATGTTTTGACACTAAGATCAATTTCTATTAATAAAAAAAATTATTAAAAAAAATAGGAAGGTTAGCTCGATACAAGATACACATATTAACCCCCAGAAATACACAACCCAGTTGGCTTGTCAATGGTGTTACTATCATGTACTACTCACAGAACAAAGTTATGTAGTCACGTTGAGGGATTCTCATTTCATTGGTTCCCAAAATGACCAACTCCTGCAATTATTGGAAGGAATCGACAAACCTTGATAATTAACTTCGACTTTTCCTCCCAAACTTCTTGGCAATTAATAAGTTAGTTTGAAAAAAATGATGCATCCATATCGTTTCTTTTGTTAATTATAAAAAGGAACTAAATCACAAGTAATAACTCCATTTGTGAATGCTGAAGAGTTTATTTCTGTCCTATAAAAAATAGAGTTTATTTATATTTAAGCAACGTTTGAAATCCAGTGTTTTAACTTTTAATGCGAATAGAGTGTTCTAATCACGTAATTTTAATTTAAAAAATAAAACGTCTTCAGGAAAATATCACATATCTTTTTAATAAGATTTTAAATATGTTTTAAATCCATTAAATTTAGATAAGTTTAGTTTTGGTCCCTAAATTTAAAATTACTTTTTTGTTTAAGTAATTAATAATAAAAAAAAAATTCATGATCACATGTAACTGACAATATAAGTTAAGAGTTGAATAATATCATTGTAATATTTACACTAATATAGACATTAATAAATAGGTTTTGTGTGATAGATTAGGTAATAAGTGGATTTTGTATTTTCAAGAGTTCTGTCTCGATCGTTACGGTTCTTTCAGGGATATTGTTCATCTATTAGCATGTTCGCAGACTTTTATCCCAACCACGCGGTAATATAATTTAGTCCCTCGCACCTACGTCCACGTAATAATATTCATTATCTTAAGATGTATCATAAGTTTTTTTTATTTTTGAAAATCCCTACATCAGATTTTACCAGTGAAACTTGAAAACTCTTTATCAAAATTTTACATATGAAACTTGAAAATCCTCTCCTCACAAGTTTTGTAGATATTGCGGATGAAACTTGGAATTCCTCATCATTTGAATTCATTTCTCATTTAGGGTAATGACTCCTTGTACAGATCAAGTGATTCTTCTCATTTTAAAAGTCTTTATTATTTTAATTATAAACAATATCCAAAAATAAATATTATCACTCTATATTTAAATAATATATATCTTATAGAATTGAAATTGAAATTTTAAATTATTGTCTTGAGATCCTTTAACTCTTAGCTTAGGTCAGTATATACACACACACATATATATGTGTGTGTTTGTGTGTGTATGAGGTGGAATTCATTTATTTCAAGAATAAGTTTATTTATACTTGTTCCACTCAATAACTCATATTTTATATCAAATTTCAACGATTCAATCCTTGAATTAAAAGTTTTTATTATATAGATCAATCCATTAGTGCAAAAAATACCTTTTAAATTGGGATTTTCAAATTGATTAAGAGGAGCCAATTTTAAAAATGAAGCAATGATATTTTTGTAAATAATGCTATCACTTTTAAGATCGATTAAATTTTAACTAATTTTAAAAGTACTTTCAAAATTATTAGCTAACCTATAATCAATCTTAAAAGTTGGGAGTAGTGCCAATTTTAAAATCGATTCTCTTAAAAAATTGATTTTGTATGTAATTTATAAAATTGGTTCTAAAGAGAATCAATAGACACAAAATCAGTTTTTTAAGGACCAATTTATAAAGGTTCAATACTAATTTGGAGGAGACCCCCACTTTCTCATTTTTGTTTTTTTGCTAATTACTTGATCATTTTCTCTCTTCTCTCTCCCATACACCCACCTTGCTTCATCCACTACTAGAACTTTTTTTATTACATGCGACTTTTCCTGCGAATTTTTATGAAAAATTCGTAGGAAACGTTATTCCTGTAAATTTTTCTACGAAATTTTACTGCAAGTAATACCTTCGTGGATAATATATTTTTGCGAATTTTAAAATTCGCAAGAAATTTTCCTACGAAATTTCTTGCGAAAAAAATTCGCAGAAAGTTTCTTGCAAAAAAAATTTGCAGGAAAGTTTTTTGCAAAAAAAATTTCGCAGGAAAGTTTCCTACGAATTTTTTCGCAAGAAATTTTGCAGGAATATTTTTACGAAAAAAATAAAGAAATTACTATAAATTCTATCAATAATTTTTTAGGTTTCAAATGCTCACAATGAATTCATCCGAAGTATTTGTTTCCATGCCTCCAACATGTGATACATAATCTTTTAAATTCTAAGATTGTAGATTATAAGCTTAATACTCAACCATACAAATCAACTTGTAAGGTAAGTGTTGTCCCAACTTATATACTCTTTAATTGTTTTATTTTCAATTGATGTAGGACTTGAAGTTTTTTGTAAAATATTAAACTTATAAATATAAATATTGTTTTTTATTTTTCTTCCGGATTAAAATTTGTAGGAAAATGCAAGAAAAGTTACCTGCAAAATTTTTCTACCAATTTAGTAAACATTACTTACGAATTTATTTTTGCAAGAAAATCTACAAGAAATAAAATAAAATTCTTACAATATTTTCTGCAAATTTTTACCATGAAAAAAAATTTCTATGATTATTAAAATTGTAGTAAAATTTATAAGAAATATCTGTAAATTATTTTTCACAAATAAATTCACAAAAAAAATTTGCAATTATTTTTTTTCAGGAAAATTTGTAAAAAATTTCTGCGAATATTTTTTTGCAAGAAAATTCGCAAGAAAATGAGACTTTTCTAGTAGTGATCATGCTTCCTCTTCTTTGTCACCATTGTTCACCCAACTTTTTCACGTCGTCGTTGCTGACCACCTTGTTTCGGCGCTTCCATCTCCTACGCGCCTTCCCCCAAAGTGCCCAACCATCATCGTGTAGTTGGTTGTTATCTTTCGTTGTTGTTAGTCATTTAACTTTTGCCTATTTATTGTTGTCATTTTCATTAGTATGTATTGGGTTCCTTTGTATGATTATCATTTTTGTCTGCTTATTTGATTGTTGGATTCCTTTATATGTTGAAAATCGCTTAACTGTAGGTGATGTGATTGTTGTTATCCCTAATAACACACATTAATAATTATTTACATCATTTTCATTACGTATATCTTAGAGTGTATAGTAAGCAATTAGATATTCGCACGTTGATGGTTCAAACTGCACATATAATATATTTAATTAAAATGGCATGTTAGGCCGTTAGGGTCATCATGCATGTGTACATGTCTCCCCTAGTAGTTGCTTGGTATTTGGCCTTATTTCCTTAACTCTTTTCATTCTTGTTTTGAAACCCCCGCATTGCCGTCAAATTTCTATTCCATAGACATTTGAGTTTGCATATAGCCTAAGTTACAAAAAGTTTCAAAATAATAATAATAATAACAATAAGTCCTGCGTGCTAATGTAAATTGAACAGAAATCTAAGCTAAAAAGTCAGACTCAGTAGTTACTGCCTACTAGAAGCTACAAAAACAACTGCTTCTATTTGTCTAATAATAAAATAATGCACTAAGTATAGCACTTGGTTGTGGAATAACTAGATGGCACATCACAAGGAAAAGAGGAAGTATCCCAAAGCAGATTTGACTTCCATGCATCGCCAATATTGAAAGGCATACTACTGAATGGGAACCCAATGGATCGTACACTCTCCAACTCCAACTCTTGGTCATCAACACGAGGCACATTCACATTAGGAACTTTTACCAATGCATTAACATTATCATAATATTGTTGGTTACCAAATGTGGTTTGCATCTCACGTAAGAATGGTATTGGGTAGCCACTACAGTGCTCTTGCAACTCACCAAAGTTTGTGCTTGTGTTTGTATCCTCCGAAGTCTTGTTTAGATCTCCTAGCACGGAGGATGACATGTTCAACAACATGGAAGAAACGTCCATTGTAGATTTGGCGTTAGGATCTGATGTTTCAAAAGGAGATGAGAATAGCAAGTTGGTGCTAAGGTCTCCATTTGAAATGGGAAAATGGTCAAAGGCTTTGTAGAGCAATGGGTTGATAATGGATTTATATGAGGCAACATCTAAAGGACAAAGAGTACTACTACTACAACTATTAGTGGTTAAAGGTTGTGCATCATTGTAATTGTTAGTACAGAACTGGCTTGTTAAGCTAGTTTTCTTTGGCAATGGCATGTTGGGTGAACAAAACTGGGTGCTGTCTTGATCTTTAGTTAGGATATCAGAGGTTCTTGTTTCAGGTAGGGAAGAGACCCAAGAGTGAGACAAAGCTCTTTGAGCTGTGGAATTGGTTTTCTTGAATATCCTGCAGATAGCCCAAGATTCCTGCAAGTTCAAAAACAAGTTAAAAAATGATGGTATTCACAACCTCCAAAAAAACACTTGAAAGTTGAAACTGCTAACTTCCTTAAGAAAATAGATTAAAAGTCTGTTAATGAGATACAATCGAGTTTTTTTAAGAGTTTTTCTAATCGAAAATAAAGATTTATTTTTAATATAGAAACTCTTCAAAACTCTTTTAAATTTATATCTAGAATCAGAGTTTCGATAGTTTTGCTACTTACATTAGCAGGA